AAACTCCATGTGATCTGCAGAGTCCCTCTGCACCTTTAAGAAAAAGCTAAAGACCCAGCTCTTTATGAATACCTACTAACTTAATGATGATGTCTCCATATTATTGATGATGATGATGGTAATGATGATGGTTTGTTTGATAACGATGACTTATAAGATGGTTTCTATACTGATTAGAGCTCTCAAGAACTGCCCTCAATGTTGTGCTTTGCCTCTGGTCACTTCCTGTCAGCACCTGTGTGTCCAATCAGACTCAAAGCTGATCGTTTGATCTTACTGACATGGCTTGTGTTGTACTTACTCTATGATGTACGTCGTTTTGGATAAAAGCGTCTGCGAAGTGAATTCAAGAATTGTAGTCCTCCTCGTTTCATCATGACAGTTGTTGATATTTGACTGATCAGTCTATTATCACACTGAGCTGTTACTGCTAATACTACACATACTTTTACCATTATTACTGACACTGTAGCTTTAAATCTATTTTATTCATTGTTGTTGTTGTTGCTCTGTTTGTCTCTCTTCTTCCTGAATCTCCCTCTATCACACTTTCCAGCTTGGACACAGTGTCATCAGACGGCTGTTCATCATGAGTCTGGATCTGCTCGAGGTTTCTTCCTCTTGAAGGGGACATATTATGAAAAATCCACTTGGGTAACCTGAGTTCTACCGACCCACAAAATGTGAAATAAACCCATCCAGTCCTTTGATTGTGGTCTGCATAAGTCTTAAAACACAGACAAAAATTCCCCGTTTCAAATTTTCTCTCCTTGTGACATCACAAGTTGGATTCAGGTAAAACAATACCCTCCCCTCATATCTCCACCCACACAGAGCGTTCTGAGAGAGCTGGTTTATACAGGGTCACAAACCTGCTCTGGGGCTTGATTCATGTTTTATTTTGACCAAAGCACAGCACAGATGGTGTCGTTAATGTTTAGAGAAATATCTTAGAATACGGTGAATGGAAAAGAAACTCTTGTATTTTCTTCAGGATCAGTGAAAGAATTCCTGGAGCTGCGTGTGAGACAAACCATAAAGGAGATGTGTCAGGAGACGTTGATGCTTTTGATGATCGTGACGACATATATGGATTTAATAAAATGTGCTTTGCCTCTGTGCACTTCCTGTCAGCACCTGTGTGTCCGATCGGACTTAAAGCCGTTCATTATCTCTTACTGACATTGTTTCCTCCTCTTGATGCTCGTTTGTGTTGTTCTTACTCCCTGATGTACGTCATTTCAACAAAAGTGTATTTCTTCAAAAAGCACGTAGTTTATTTTATTTTATTTTCTTTTTTAAATACAAAGTGTACTGGTTGTGTACTCACCATTGTGTTGTGATGAACCAGGTATAAAACTCACTTTTGGCACCAGCAGCCGTTTATTCTGATAATAACAGAAGAAAGATGAGCACGCTCACACAGACACTTTGGTGGTTAACAGCTCTAACATTCACACAGGGACAGGATAATGCAGACAGGACAAACATTTAACGTGTATATAAAATGTAGGTCTCTGTCACAGCCACTTCTTTGGTAGTAAGCTTCAGTATTTACTTAAACAGAGAGCAGAAAATCAAGCTAACTGTTGGTGAAGTCAGCTACACCACGACAACAAATGATGAAGCTGAAACTCAGCTAGAAAAGCATAAAAACATGGAGAGTTGAAATAACTCAACTAAAACAAATCAATATCACCACAAAAGTCTTTGATAATTATTTTAAGAGGATCTCTGAAACATGGCACATTAATAAAACTTACTTTTACTCAGAAAAACTGACTTATTTCATCGTTTTTTAGCGGAGCTCTTAATAAGTCAACTCACCACGGAGAGTGTAACCTGGCAACAGGGCACGGGGCTCATCATGCATGTCTGCAGGGGCCCCAGCAGAGGGCGCTCATGGTACTCACAAGCTAAAAGCTCATGGTCACAAATACATTACTGACAGTATTAACACCAATAAAATAGTCAAATAAGAACAAATTATGGCAAATGAAGGCAAGTGGAATCATTAATGTAGATTATTCACTAAATGATCCCTCTGTTAACTACAGGCCACCGTAACAGGTGTGTTTATTCTGATCAGTTCTACTAACCATTGTGTTATTGCTCTAATATATGCTTCTAATAAATGGTAAAAATGTATTTCTCTGTCTAGTACTAATCCTCCTCCATATTTTCCACATTATTGTCACTGCATTTGTGCTCTAAAAAAATATCCTTTCCAGTGTAAACACAAAGGGCTACTCTTGTATATTTTACAAAGACTTTTAAAAGCCTGTAACTAGTGTAGTAATTGCTTTTCCATTCACTTCTCTCCAGTTGACTCATTCACACTCAACAGATAGAGTCTATAACTGAGAGAGGGCTGTTTGTAAAATAGTGGTAATATTGCAAAATAACACTGGGCTGCAGCTTCATGGTAGACTATTTATTAAAACCACATATTAGAACAATGACACAATGGTTAAAAGAATACACACAAGCTTTTTTTAACAGGGTTAATGTTTCCACTTTCAATGATTTACCATAATTTCTTCTTACTTTACTATTTTAATCATGTTAATACTGTCAGTAATGTATTTGTGACCATGAGCTTTCATTTCTATCTTCAGTTTTCTCTATGTTTGTTAGAAATTGTCTGTCTGAATGGGAAATGCTTTTTGCAGCTATGAAACCAGACAGTGACTTTCTCAGCAGAAACAGCGTCCTTGCTTGCAAGAATGTTAGTTTAACAAGCAGGGGCCGAATCCAGATGTTTTTCCCTGGCGCCCCAAATGCAGCGGTGAAATCAAATTGTGCACATACACGATTAATCAATCAGACATTATTTGTATGGCGCTAATTCATAATAAATGTGATCTCAAGACACTTCACAGAAAGAGCAGATTAAGACCTTACTCTTTGTTATATATTGTTACAAAGACCCAACATTAATCCATCATGAGCACTAAGCAACATTTAGCAAAGTTACAGTGGAGAGGAAAAACTTATTTTAAGAGGAAGAAACCTCGAGCAGATCCAGACTCATGATGAACAGCCGTCTGATGAAACTGTGTCCGGGTTGGAAAGTGGGATAGAGGGAGATTCAGGAAGAAGGAGAGACAAACAGCAACAACAACAACAATGCATAAAATAGATTTAAAGCTACAGTGTCAGTAATAATGGTAAAAGTATGTGTAGTGTTAGCAGTAACAGCTCAGTGTGATAATAGACTGATCAGTCAAATATTAACAACTCATCATAGAGGATCATTTATTAACCCCTTACTGTCCCCATTATCATATCTACTTCTGTCATTAAAGAGTCTAAAATATGTTATGGTATGATTTTCTACTTTATGAACTAAATATATACAATTAAAAATCAAAACTGTTTTTTATTTTGCTCTGTGAAACTTGTAATTTATTGAATCCTCTTGATCAACCTGAATTCTAGTCTCATGTCTCTCTTTGTTCACAAATAAAACTACAGACTCTGTTACAACATTTTATTAAAATGAAGAAGCAAAAAATCACATTAAAGCACATTTGGATGATGCAGTTTGCTTTACAAGTATTCAGAGAAAATTGAAGGACTTTTCTAACATAGAAGCCAACCTGAAACATCTGACACTGAAAACAAATCCTCTCAGCTGTGATTCAATCTTTCTTGAAAAGACGACTTTGATTTCATGAAAGTACATTTGATTGTAAAAACATTGTTACAGACTTTAAAACTTTGATACTTAAGATCACAAGGAGATTAAAACCCATTTTGTATTATATATATATTTTTAATTCATGTGTCAAATAAAAAACATTTAATGTCAATCTGCAGAGACCCTTTGTACCTTTAAGACAAAGCTCTTCATGAACACCTTGATGATGATGATGATGATGATGATGATGATGATGATGTTTAGGATGGTTTTGATTCTGATTCAAACTCTCACGAGCAGCTGTTGATGTTGTTGATGACGACATATTTACTTTATTTTTTTAAAAGGTGCACTGCCTCTGGTCACTTCCTGTCATCACCTGTGTGTCTGATTTGACTTAAAGCTGTTTGTTTGCACTTGCCTGTCAGATAGGAAGCTGTGTGTGCTGCACTCCCATGGAGTAGGGCGCAGAGCAGAAGGGGAGCGCACACGAGCAAAAAGCAACGGTGCACATTGCTAGGTTACAGAAACATTAGTCGGGAAAATAGTTACTTTTTGGTGCACAGTGTGTTTGTATCTGTTCACTATTCAGTAGAAAACTCTGATCTTTAACTGAGGAGGAGGAGGAGCTGTTACGGTTTGTATTTAGACCCAAAAGCAGACACAGCAGCAAAATTGAAGGGTTTGAGGTTTTATTGCAGGGCTAGGTATCAGTGAATGGCTGACTGGCTGGCTGGTAGTGACGGCGTGGAGGAGTCTTATGGAGTTAGCTGGTTCCGTAGGCAGACAGGTAATTGGTTGAGTTGTCTGAGAGGAGAGCAGACTGGAGGAGATGACACCGGTGAAAATCTGGACAACAAGAGAGAAAATCTGTTAGGACTCACTGGAAAAACACTTGGAATAAACTCTAACAAATGTTAAGAGCAGCCGATCATAGCTACCACTTCAGTAGACTCAATAATCTGGCAATGAGTCGAGTTGAACCCTGGGTCTTAGTCTGAGGCAGATAAGAAGATGAGTTGCAGGTGTGAGTAGTCACCAGGTGTTTGATTGAAGCCACGCCCTCCAGAGACACACACACACGCACGCACGCACGCACGCACGCACGCACGCACGCACGCACGCACGCACGCACGCACGCACGCACGCACGCACGCACGCACGCACGCACTTCTGTAAAAGCAAAATTAAAGTCATTGCAGGTGATCTCACACCTTTGGAAGGCAGCAGCTTACTTATCCCTACCTTGTATTGTTGTTTGAGTCATCGTTTGTCTAAAACGATGATTTTGGCCGCCAAAGAAACACAGAAGTTGTGGGCAAAATTTCGGCTTGAGTACAGACACAAGAGTATTTTCCTTAGACAACTTATATTTAGTTAAATATACGTTAGTAATACCAGGGTTATTTCACTACCAGAGTTGATAAGCTTTCTTTTAAAGCAAACGATGTGGATTTTATTTAAACAATGTTTATTTTATTTATCTACCAACTGTTAAAAAAGGGTAATTTAAGAGCACGGAGATGATAGTTTAAATAAGTATCATATGTGACATGCAACTTATATCGTTAAATATTCATAGAGAATTATGTCTCCTTACTGAAATTATTTGGGTTTATTACATACTTTCACAACTTTTATATTTTTGATGACATTTTGTGGATGAAAATAAAAATCGTCCTTTTTTTAATTTCCTCTCCGCTCCATCCAACCATCTGCATAGACGGGCTGCAGGGCTTCTTCTCTATACCTTTGAGGATACTACAGCTTTGGTTGGAGGCACTTTTGTGAGTCATGTGTTCCAAAAATGTTCTTAGTTTATTTGTTTGAAATGATAAAAATAGAAGGTGAACCAAAGTAAAGCGAGCCACACGGCCTCAGCAGGGTCAAACACCATTTAGAAGATTGTAGTGGGCAGAAGATACCGATGACACAGATCTCAAACTTTCAGAACTAAGAGAGCCATTTCAAGCTTCGTGCCCACATCCATCAGGCTCATGAATGGCTGATCCATTTGTTCATTTATTTTTAACACCACTCTTTTAACCTTTCATAACAATTGTCATGCTTTTAATACAGCCACTTGTATGTGTGTGTGTTCTTTTGTTTGTTTGTTTTGTTGTGCTGAGCTGTATGCACACTGATGATTTTTTTACACAACTGAAGTTCCTAACAGATAAATAAAGATATTTGAAATTGGGTCTTGCAGACTGCAGACAGATACTATTGGTCCAACTGGCAAACGAGACCTTGTGCTGAGCTCAGCTTGGCCGAGTGCAGATACGCTCTTGTGCAGAGCTACACATAGACAATGAATGGTCTTGACAGCAGCGCGTAGCCCCCACCGCGTCCTGTCTGAAAGTCCCTTTAGTCTTTTAGTTTTGTGTTCAAAATATGTCTAAAAGAAAAGGCGAGAGTAATTTGAGAATCAACAGATCAGTTTCAAACACTGACATTATAATGTACATCAGGTCGGATACAATGAGCTGTAGTTATTTTTTAAATATCGCCACAGCCCCCAAAACCAACCCAGCCCCAACAGCCCCCACAGCTGCCACAGGCGCAATAGCCAATCCAGCCCCCACCGCCACCGCAGCCCCCACCGCCACCGCAGCCCCAATAGCCCCCACCACCGCAAGTCCACGACCAACCTTTGCGAGCACTGAAAGGCTCTTCTCTGCCTCTCTTCTAGCCTTCTCTTCCTGTTCTTCCTCCAGTGCTTTCATTTTCTCTTTTAGTTCTTTTTCCATCTCTTCCTTCGCTTCTTTTAATTCTTTCTCATGTTTTTCTTTTATTTCCCTCTCCAGTTCCTCCTTCAATTTGCACTTTTGCTCTTCTTTCTCTTTCTGGATTCGCTGTTTCTCCTTCTTAGTGTCTTCCTCTGCTTCCTTTAATTCTTTCTCATGTTTTTCTTTTATTTTCCTCTTTAGTTCCTCCTCTTTGCACTTTTGCTTTTCATTCTCTTTCAGGATTCGCTGTTTCTCCTTCTCCGCGTCTTCCTTCGCTTCCTTTATCCTTTGCTCAAATTTTTCCACTATTTTCCTCATTAGTTCCTTCCTCTCTTTCCTCATTTGCTCTTCTTTCTCTTTCAGGATTCTCTGTTTCTCCTCTTCAATCGCCCTCTCTGCCTCCTGAAACATCTCAGTGGTGTAATGGTTTCCTGTGTTCTTTTCTGTTATTTTTCTGATCTTGTTGAGGAGCTCTCTGGTCTGAGAACTATCAGAGATCGTGTTATCAAAGACGTGGTACTGGTCGTTACATTTGGCCACAAGCTTCTGCAGGTCTTTGCTTTCCTTCAAGAACTCCTCGATAGTCCCACTGAGCTGGTCACCATGGGTAAAGAGAACCATGCTGTATTTGTCTGCTGACTTTCCAAAGATTTTCTGAATCTTCTCCACCGTCTTCTTTTCTTCTTCTGTGATTCGGCCCAGTTTGATGATAATCAGAAAGATATGGGGTCCAGGAGAAGCATAAGCCATACACTGGGAGATATTTTTACGTGTCGTCTCTTCATCTGTATTGGTGTCAAACAGACCTGGAGTGTCGATGACAGAAACCTTCTGTCTATCCAGCTCACCATACGCCTTAGCACAGTCTGCGGTCACAGATTCAGGGGAGAAAACAGATTCAAAGCACTTGTGTCCCAGGATGGTGTTTCCTGCTGCACTCTTCCCAGCTCCGGTCTTCCCCACCATCACGATCCGGATCTCTTCATTGTTGTACATGGTTGTTTCTGATTGGATGGAAAAAAAAGAAAGAACAACTTTGATTATCCAAACCTGATCTTATACAATTATCCCGTTATTTTTGTTTTGTTTTTTTGAACAACCAGATTTTAGATTCAAGAAAAACTCATCTGATAACTTTAATCCTGTTGGATTAACTTTGAACAAACGGGCCCAGAGGATATTGTCTAGCTAGCTCTAAATGATTATTTTACTATTTCTACTGAAAAATAGTTAACACTTTTTCTTTAACTTTACAAACTAACTCAACAGAGCATGTAGCAAATTAAAATGCAAAGAAAGCCACTCGGGGTTTGTAGCATCGGTAACACTTTAAATTAAGGTCATAATAATCACCATTAGCCAGTTGCTTATTAGCATGTTCATTAGTAGCATACTGGCTGTCGTCATTGAGAGCTTTATAGTCGAGCCCGACCAATAAATCTGTCAGCCGATCGGTACTAATTTTATCTCTGATATGCTGACATAACTAGGTTTATTCAATTTAAGTTCATCATTTAGTTTTAAATCGTTTTTTAATAATTGTTTATTTCCATAAATGCTTTTATTCAACTGTAAACAAAAAAAAAAAAACTTGTCTTCGTTATAAATCTTTATGACAAGTGTTTTATAACCGCTCAATGCAATAATGTGTGTACCGTATTTTCCGCACTATAAGGCGCACTTAAAAGCCTTTAATTTTCTCAAAAAACGACAGTGCGCCTTATAATCCGGAGCGCCTTATATATGGATCAATTGGTTAATTGGTTGATCCATACTGGTTGTACACGGCGCTCAGCGACACTGACTCGGATGATGACGAGAGGGAGCCGGGCATGTTGGATGCCGTACTCGCCCAACTGTTCAATTCGGACACTGAAGAAGAAGAATTCGAGGGATTCGTGGACGGGGAATGAACTGAAAAAGTGAGCTTTACGTGTTATACGTAACTGAACAATGTTGAGTTATGCACTAACGCAGGGGTGCCCAACCTTTTTTGGGTATTTTAGGGTAGGCAACATTTTAATATTAAGTTTGTATTTATATCACATATGTTTTCCCCTTAATTTAGTTTACAACAAACAACTTTAATCTGTGTGGAGATGTTCACAGACTACAGCAGGCTGCTGTGAGATGATGTTGCTTTTGTTAAATTAGCTGCAGACACGGTGAGAGTGAACGGAGTAAAGTCCAACCGACTGTTTGACCGGGTCACGTGGGTTCCCACCTCGGTCCGTACGGATCACGGATCAACTGTGTGCTGTAGCACTAAAAGTAAAATGGTTCGTGTGTGTGTGTGTGTGTGTGTGTGTGTGTGTGTGTGTGTGTGTGTGTGTGTGCGCGCGTTTGCGCTGTTTGTTGGTGTGTCTCGTCCCCCTCGAGGAGCAGAGAAAAGTAGCTGCAGCTTCATCAAATGCGCTTAATACTCGTAGCATAGTTTCTATATATGACTTTTTGGTAAAACATTTACCCCCCCCCCCCGGTTTTACCTGCATGTCACTGCTCTCTCTCTCTCTCTCTCTCTCTCTCGCTCGCTCTCTCATGCACGCAGCAATTTCATGAATAAATGAAAAATTAAATACACACAGGTCGGAAGTATACTTGGGCTCCCAACACAGGTATCGTGTGTGGGAAACAGTGCAATGAGATGAAATTGAAATCACTTTTCTATTTTACAATTGTATTTTATATTGACAAAACATCTCGCGATCGACTGAGAATCAGTCAGCGATCTACCTGTCGATCGCGATCGACTGTTTGGGCACCCCTGCACTAACGTTTGAATTAGCGGTATCAGACTGTGTTTCTTTTACGTGTTTACAACTGAACAAGGCTGGGAGATATTGTGAATATGCACATTAACGTTTGAACAACGTTGAGTTATTGTGAATGCACTACGTATAAAACTACGTTTTGAGAGTTAAGAGAAACGTCAAAGAAATAATTTATTATTTGGGGAAATCGTCTTATGTACTTTTGTTTTTGTAGTTTTATACGTATTTATATTTATATATTCACAATATCTCCCAGCCTTGTTCAGTTGTAAACACGTTCTATTCTATGCGCCTTATAATCCGGTGCGCCCTATATATGAAAACAGTTCTAAAATAGGCCATTCATTGAAGGTGCGCCTTATAATCCGGTGCGCCTTATAGTGCGGAAAATACGGTATGTCTATTTCTATCCATAAAGATTGGAGATACATATAAGAAAGATATCGACCAGATATATCGAAATGTTTTCTCCCTAAAAACGATATCGGCATCTGCCCCAAAAATACATTTCAGTCGGGCTCTACTTTATAGTACCTTACTCTATATGACCATAACTCATAGCTACAAGGCCATTAACTAAGAGTTTGCCCTCAGTACCCTCCTAAATACTACTGATTAAGAGAACGTTAAGAAGTTGAATCAGAATCACATTCACCTTTATTGGCCAGGTATGTTTACACACACAAGGAATTTAACTGGTGAACTTTGCTCTCTATGTACAAGTATAACATTAAATATCAACAATAAACACAATAAGCAAAGACTAATATGTACAAGGCTAAATAAGAAACAGTTCAGTTGTGAGTAGTGCAAAAAAGGCTGAAGTGACATGATAATAAAAAATGCAGTTATGTGACAGATGGGTTCATTTACATGAGGTAGAGTTTTACAGTATTTACATGATAAGTGTGCGTAGATCGATAATTTAAATTAAATGATATATATGTATATGTACATTCACAGAGACAGGTCTGACACTCTGTGGCTGTTTAGCATTCATCAGACAGAGTCACAGCCTGGGGGAAGAATCTGTAACGCCTACCGGAGGGGAGGAGTTTGAAAAGTTTGTGTCCGGGGTGTGAGGAGTCTGCTACCTACCCGTTTCCCAGCCCGGGACCGGATAAGTCCTGGATGGGGGGCAGGTCGACACCAATGATTTTTTCTGCAGTCCTGATCATCTGTTGCAGTCTGTATCTGTTCGGTTTGGTTGCAGATCCAAACCAGACAGTGATGGAGGTGCACAGAACAGACTGGATTATGGATGTGTAGAACATGATCAGCAGCTCCTGGGGCAGGTTGAACTTCCTGAGCTTGTACGTGAAATATGACCTCAATATACTTTTTCTCACTTCTACCTTATAAGGGCATACTAAGCAACGCATATCAAGATCAGAATTCCTGTTCAACAACTTCTTAACTTTCTCTCAATAAGCAGTAATTAGGAGGGTATTTGGAAAACCGCTGAAGTTACACCTACACACTAAATTCTGTTATAATTTAAAAGCCAAACATAATTTGTGCCAGTGTATGAAGTCTTGAAAACCCCAACAGATACAAGGTTTAAGCTACTTACTAATAAAGCAGCTTTCTGTGATTACTGGTGTTATGATCATTGTGATAACAGCTGGGTGGAGTGAGGGCTAGTGTACGGATTCACGGATTCCTTTTATTTAAATACAGATATTTATTAAATATGAATAATATTGGTATTTAACAATTCAATTTGACACTGACTCTGTGCTATTTGGTTATTGTTGACTGAGGGAACCCATCCAGGGTGGTGTCCCGTTGTTATTAATTCAGATTAATAGTTTTGGTAAGTAATATTAATACAAATAATTAATATTAATTTAATAGCGAAGTTGACTACATTAAAACCCAAACATAGTTTGTGCCCACGTATGAGGTCTTCAAAACGCCAACAGATACAAGGTGTATGTTACCTTGTAAATTAAATGTACTGACTTACCTTTACTGACAGCCATATTTGGGTGTTGGAGAGAGTAGCTGGTGTGTTTCTAAGCTAAAGAAGAAAAGTTTTTAGTCTGTCAGTGGAAACACTTCCTTATACCTGCACGGAGCCTCACCCTGTTCACCCCTCCCAGCATCAATAAAATGACTACTTTTCCCCGAAATGGATAAAGTCCAAGCGAAACCAAACTGCCTTTATAGCACTGACCTAACTGGGTCATAACCCAAAGTTCAGACTGAGTTATGTTTCTCTTTTTTCATTATTTTACTTCTTTCATGTTTTCTTTGAGTTGCTGACTTCTCTCTCTATTCAGCGAGTAACTTAGTGTGTCTTTCACATGTTTCACAGTGCTCTCCAACCCAAGCAGCAACTTCTGTTGTTGACAAATGAAGCCGATGTGCCAGTGCAAAGTCCCGCAGTTCGAGGGTCCTGTTGAGGCATGCAAACTGTCAAACTGTCATTTATTTGTATAGTGTAATACAATTGTAGAATTGCGTAAATGTTGTATTTCAGTGTACAGTAAGAACTTTTCGTGTTCTATGTGATGTTCCACTCTTGATTATGGGAGGCTTTTATTGTGGTAGTGTAGCAGGGTTAAAATGCACTTTATTTTTGAGTACAGTTTACAATTTATACTTGAGATTTCATTTATAATTTATTTCTGTAAGTATTTGTGAATTTTATCTTAACGAGTTATGTATATTTACTGTTATTTTATCAAATGTATGTTTCCTTTGAGAATTACCTTTTTGGCACTTTGCGGCTTCTGTACCTCCTGGGTTACCGTAGCTCCTTCCATCTGTCCCTCACAGTGCCGTTTTGCATTGCTGAGGGTAAGTTGTATGTAAAAACGTTGCTGCATCATTACCTTATTTACTGTGGAAAATAAGTGATTTAAGTTGTAATGTTCAGTTTATTTTATAAACTGATAGTAATACGATGTTAATCAGTCATTGTGTTTAGGTTTTGAGAGTTTTATATCTCTTTGGAGACTGTTTTAATGTAGCGGTTTTGGCGCAAATTGTGTAATATCCTACAGCGCCTGTGTCACGTGATTGACGTGCCGCAGATATTCTCAGTTGAAATAATATTTATTTTGCATGTATAGGAGCAGAGGTGCAGAAAACAAATGTCCAGAAGGCACATTGAATGTTCTTTTGTCTTCTGCAGAAAATAAAAGCTGGAAAACAGTCAGAGTCTGGTTTTCTTCACTCCCCTGACCACATCCATTACAGTAGCAAACATCAGTCTGCACCGCCCGTCAGTTATCATATGTTTAGGCGTTGGTGCTCAACTTTATTCACCCCAAACAAAGTCCAGAATTAAATAAATGAGAATCATTAACCGTAACATGACGGAGTTTGCCATGAGTCAACTTTTAGTGCACCACTATCTGAAACACTATGTTAGAGGAACGCACGTAGGCACAACAGGTGATAAGACCATAGGATAAAACACAACGCCTTACAGAGCAACACAACATAAATCACCTTTAAACTGGACCGTTTGAGGACACTCTTCCTGTTATATTAGCGTAACAAGCTCTCACTAGCTTACTATGTTGTATTTATCAACTGAGAGGGTGAAAGTTTTTAAGTAGAGAAGTTCTGAACACATTTAAAGAAGCTTTCTTCTACTTTACTTACATTACTCTATTTGCTTTCAACACTCAGGATACAGAATTTAGTTTAAATAAAATATGTATTTATAAATACTAAATTATCAAAAAAACAAGATGTAACAAATTAATGAGTACAGGGCTAATGTAAGGTTAGACTCTTGGAGCTGGTGGAGAATTAATTAAACACACGACACAGAATGTTGGTAACCGGTTTTGTATTTCACAAATTTCTATTTTTAACAAAAAACACTTGAACTTAATCAAGGATAACCCCACAATTACATAAAAGAAAACAGGCCTTCAATTCACAATTTCTTACGGCCACCTTTTACCCTCCATACAGCATATTCATAAAATCAACGCACCAAACACATTACACGTGTTATATCACATTAAAGCACATTTGGATGATGCAGTTTGCTTTACAAGTATTTAGAGAAAATTTAAGGACTTTTCTAACATAAAAGCCAATCAATCATAGCCTCAAATCAACTTTCCATCAAAGTTATTAAGTCCTTTTTTGTTTTCTTCCTCAAATCCCCACTTAGTTAAATCAAAGATACCGCGTTTCAACTCCAACTCTAACATAAGAACTTCACCATTTCAACTTATAAACAATACATAACAGTGTTATTATTTACGTTGTCACATCAGTATAACTGTCGTAATTATATCCTTTGCCTATTTACTCCCTTTATATATCTTTTGTTCACCATTTTTCTTTATTAAACTTCACATATAAAATTTCTGTACTTTCTGTGTAATTATATGGTTTTAACTGATTGAGAATTTACCCCAATGATATGAGACAGATTTATAAATAAATTAATTAACTAAGGTTAGTTAATTTATGCCGATTCTTATTATTATTATATTGGTGCCCCATGTGAGGCCAAGTTAATGTAAAATAATAATATTTACACAGACAAAATAGTCAAACGTTTATTCACAATACCGATTAACCCTTCCCCTTTATCAATTAATCCTATCTACCCCGCTATCCAATCTGCTATATTGATGTTCAATACTTCTATCTATCTGTGTATTCAAGCAATGTGGTCATGTTTATAAGTTGTGTGTGAGAACTGTGAGCACGCCTTAAGCTAAGCATTAGCAGCAAAGCTAACGTGTAGGAACGCATCGACGTAAGTTCACTTCTTCGTTGCATTAGAGGTTGAAATTGAGCCACACCGCCCCTGGTGGTGGCTGTAGAGGGCGCCGACCCCTCCTCTGGGCCAGCTGATACGAGAGCTCTATCTTGTGGCTGTTTTAAGCAATTGAGCTTTAGCACTAGGTTTTCTCCTGGGCTGCTTTAGTAAATAGTCTTGGGCGCCTTTGTCTCCATCTAGTGGTTGTTTTGGTTAACTGAGTTTGATTTTTCTTCTTTTTTTTTTTCTTTTGGTTTATCTCCCACAGATATCTGACACAGCTTCCTGATCACATAAAGATTCCAGGATAAAATTAAGAGAGATTCGCTAAGTAAATTAGCCAGGCCTCTCTCCAAAATAGGAAAATGATTTATTTTAGTTAACTTCAACATTAAACTACAGTTGACATTCCTAATACAGATTTTCAATTTAATTACCAACACTAGTTGAAAATTAACTTTGTTGTTCCCCAAACAACAAACAAATACATTTTCTACTATTTGTTTACCATCAATGCCAACTTTAATCCAAACTTTACAACAACTTTAGTGATTCAAACTTACAACCTCCAATTGTAGTCCTAATAAAACTACACTGCTCAAAAAAATAAAGGGAACACTTAAACAACACAATGTAACTCCAAGTCAATCACACTTCTGTGAAATCAAACTGTCCACTTAGGAAGCAACACTGATTGACAATCAATTTCACATGCTGTTGTGCAAATGGAATAGACAACAGGTGGAAATTATAGGCAATTAGCAAGACACCCCCAATAAAGGAGTGGTTCTGCAGGTGGTGACCACAGACCACTTCTCAGTTCATATGCTTTCTGGCTGATGTTTTGGTCACTTTTGAATGCTGGTGGTGCTTTCACTCTAGTGGTAGCATGAGACGGAGTCTACAACCCACACAAGTGGCTCAGGTAGTGCAGCTCATCCAGGATGGCACATCAATGTGAGCTGTGGCAAGAAGGTTTGCTGTGTCTGTCAGCGTAGTGTCCAGAGCATGGAGGCGCTACCAGGAGACAGGCCAGTACATCAGGAGACGTGGAGGAGGCCGTAGGAGGGCAACAACCCAGCAGCAGGACCGCTACCTCCGCCTTTGTGCAAGGAGGAACAGGAGGAGCACTGCCAGAGCCCTGCAAAATGATCTCCAGCAGGCCACAAATGTGCATGTGTCTGCTCAAACGGTCAGAAACAGACTCCATGAGGGTGGTATGAGGGCCCGACGTCCACAGGTGGGGGTTGTGCTTACAGCCCAACACCGTGCAGGACGTTTGGCATTTGCCAGAGAACACCAAGCTTGGCAAATTCGCCACTGGTGCCCTGTGCTCTTCACAGATGAAAGCAGGTTCACACTGAGCACGTGACAGAGTCTGGAGACGCCGTGGAGAACGTTCTGCTGCCTGCAACATCCTCCAGCATGACCGGTTTGGCAGTGGGTCAGTAATGGTGTGGGGTGGCATTTCTTTGGGGGGGGCCCACACAGCTCTCCATGTGCTCGCCAGAGGTAGCCTGACTGCCATTAGGTACTGAGATGAGATCCTCAGACCCCTTGTGAGACCATATGCTGGTGCAGTTGGCCCTGGGTTCCTCCTAATGCAAGACAATGCTAGACCTCATGTGGCTGGAGTGTGTCAGCAGTTCCTGCAAGACGAAGGCATTGATGCTATGGACTGGCCCGCCTATTCCCCAGACCTGAATCCAATTGAGAACATCTGGGACATCATGTCTCGCTCCATCCACCAACGCCACGTTGCACCAGGATTTGGCGGATGCTTTAGTCCAGGTCTGGGAGGAGATCCCTCAGGAGACCATCCGCCACCTCATCAGGAGCATGCCCAGGTGTTGTAGGGAGGTCATACAGGCACGTGGAGGCCACACACACTACAGAGCCTCATTTTGACTTGTTTTAAGGACATTACATCAAAGTTGGATCAGCCTGTAGTGTGTTTTTCCACTTTAATTTTGAGTGTGACTCCAAATCCAGACCTCCATGGGTTAATAAATTTGATTTCCATTGATAATTTGTGTGATTTTTGTTGTCAACACATTCAACTATGTAAAGAACAAAGTATTTAATAAGAATATTTCATTCATTCAGATCTAGGATGTGTTATTTTAGTGTTCCCTTTATTTTTTTTTAGCAGTGTACTTTATCACAGGTTTAAGTTGAATTTCTAAAAGGGAATACAAAAATAACTGTAAGACTCCTTTGAGTAAAATTTTATTTCACCCCAAACCGTCTCAATAAAACTTAAATTTAAACATTTTGTTTCCTTCAGATTAAAATCTGGTCGTTGTCAACTAAAGTTATTCTCACCCTCCTTCCTCTGCTAACAATAACTACTGATCAGTGTTTACTTCTTATTTTTAATTTTGCTTCCTAGGACCCAAACTTTAGTTCAAACACATTAACCAGATCAAGTCACAACCCTCTTTTGTTACGATCCACTATCTCATCTTAAATTTAGATCTCGATTTTAAACTTTGATTTCCAGTTAAAATCTAAATCTTAACAATGAAAGTTTGATTTCGATTTTAATTTTAAATTTGACTTTAATTTGAAATTCTAGTTTAAAACTTTAGGGTTGTGGAACTTCAATTTTCAAATTTTGATTGTTTCTTTTTCTCTTGCTCGCCCTCCTATTTTGCTCAGTTGTTAAGTGTTAGACATGGAGACCCCCAGTGGCGCTGACCAGGGTGGCTTGGGTGACCCCATGGAGCAATTAGGGTCTGTTCTGGTGGATATGACTGAACCATTGATTCCTGGTTTTGTGGTTAAAGTAGAAAACACTAACCCCTCTCTCCTTCATGACATGATGTCAGACCTGGTTCTAACAGCTCTAGCTCAGCCTCTGAATGATAAAGAATTAGGTAAGATGCTAGCAAAGATGGCCATAGTCATGACTGCCCAAGAAAATTATGGCCACAAAATGCTAGATCGAGTAACAGAGGGACATGCACATCTGCAACGAAACTATGACACTCTCCAGCTATCTCAGAACTTCAGGATGCTGGCCCTCACTCACCCAAAGAAGAGGAAGACAGTGAGGAAGGTAACAATGAGCTCAAAACAGCTCTTGAGAAGAAAGAAAATGAGTTAGAGGCAATCAATGAACAACTCACAGCAACTGTCACACAACTCGACCGATCGGACATTCTTCTCACAAAGGCTCAGGAAAGAGTCAAAGACTTGTCAACTCAGGTCAAAACTCAAGCTCGGGATACGGAGGAACATCCTCAGATCAGTCTATTATCACACTGAGCTGTTACTGTTAATACTACACATACTTTCACCATTACTACTGACACTGTAGCTTTAAATCTATCATATGCATTATTGTTGTTGTTGTTGCTCTGTTTGTCTCTCTCCTTCCTGCATCTCACTCTATCCCACTTTCCAGCCCGGACACAGTCTCAGCAGACTGCTGTTCATCATGAGTCTGGATCTGCTCGAGGTTTCGGCCTCTTAAAGGGGGCATATCATGAAAAATCCACTTCTACAGTGTTTTTGAACATACATTTGGGTAACCTGAGTGTCTACCATCCCACAAAATGTGAAATAAACCCATCCAGTCCTTTGATTGTGGGCTGTATAAGTCACAGACAAAAATTCCCCGTTTCAAATTTTCTCTCCTTGTGACATCACAAGTTGGATTCAGGTAAAACAATACCCTCCCCTCATATCTCCACCCACACAGAGCGTTCTGAGAGAGCTGGTTTATACAGGGTCACAAACCTGCTCTGGGGCTTGATTCATGTTTTATTTTGACCAAAGCACAGCACAGATGGTGTCGTTAATGTTTAGAGAAATATCTTAGAATACGGTGAATGGAAAAGAAACTCTTGTATTTTCTTCAGGATCAGTGAAAGAATTCCTGGAGCTGCGTGTGAGACAAACCATAAAGGAGATGTGTCAGGAGACGTTGATGCTTTTGATGATCGTGACGACATATATGGATTTAATAAAATGTGCTTTGCCTCTGTGCACTTCCTGTCAGCACCTGTGTGTCCGATCGGACTTAAAGCCGTTGATTATCTCTTACTGACATTGTTTCCTCCTCTTGATGCTCGTTTGTGTTGTTCTTACTCTCTGATGTACGTCATTTCAACAAAAGTGTATTTCTACCAAAAGCATTTAGTTTCTTTTCTTTTCTTTTTTAAATACAAAGTGTACTGGTTGTGTACTCACCATTGTATTATGATGAACCAGGTATAAAAACTCACTTTTGGCACCAGCAGCCGTTTATTCTGATAATAACAGAAGAAAGATGAGCACGCTCACACAGACACTTTGGTGGTTAACAGCTCTAACATTCACACAGGGACAGGATAATGCAGACAGGACAAACATTTAACGTGTATATAAAATGTAGGCCTCTGTCACAGCCACTTCTTTGGTAGTAAGCTTCAGTATTTACTCAAACAGAGAGCAGAAAATCAAGCTAACTGTTGGTGAAGTCAGCTACACCACGACAACAAATGATGACGCTGAAACTCAGCTAGAAAAGCATAAAAACATGGAGAGTTGAAATAACTCAACTAAAACAAATCAATATCACCACAAAAGTCTTTGATAATTATTTTAAGAGGATCTCTGAAACATGGCACATTAATAAAACTTACTTTTACTCAGAAAAACTGACTTATTTCATCGTTTTTTAGCGGAGCTCTTAATAAGTCAACTCACCACGGAGAGTGTAACCTGGCAACAGGGCACGGGGCTCATCACGCATGTCTGCAGGGGCCCCAGCAGAGGGCGCTCATGGTACTCACAAGCTAAAAGCTCATGGTCACAAATACATTACTGATGGCACACTACATTAAGACACAACCAAACTAAATGATATGACGCAACATGTGCAGTGGGGGGTCCAGACTTCTTTGACCGGGGTGGCCCATGTGAGGGATCTTCGAGTGTGTCACGATTTGATTGAGAATCTATTTTCTATTCAAAATGATTCTGGATTCATGATTCAAAGTCTATTTTTGAATTAGTACATATACTTCAGGATCTACTCCAGTCATCTGTGAGACTGGCTGAATTTCTTGCTGCTCCATTTGGCATTCTACAGAGTTAAAGAGCTAGCATTAGCACTTAGCAGGGAGTGACTGATTGGACAAAACAATAATAATTGATTTTTGGAAGTTATGAATCTATTTAAAATCTCAGAAACTAAAAATCTGGATTTTTACATGAATCATTTTTTTTCCCAACCTCTAGTGCATGGGCACACACTAATGAATATCCTTTCCCCCTTTTCTATTTCCACTAATAATGTCTACTTTAAAAGGCAGGGTTGGTCATTTTCTAAAACTAGCATAATTTTGAAAGTAGCATTCCCTCAGTGCTCTGTCTGCACCCCTCCCCTCTGTGCTCCCTCTAAAGCCACGCCCCCTCACTTACATACACAAGCGCCGTTGCTCCAGAAGCGGACCTCAGCTCATGCTTTGAGTGTGGGCTCGTGCAGTCATGGGGTCGAGAACGAGCAGGGAGACAGGGAGGCGTGATTGGTTCATCAGATTGGTACCTCGTGGCAGACATTGGTCAAAATTTGCTGCTTTGCTAAAGTGCTCATGATGGATTAAGCTGGGTCTTTGTAATATAGTCATAAGTAAGGTCTTTTAGCTGCTTTTTGTAAAGCGTCTTGAGATAACACTTGATATGAATTGGCGCTATACAAATAAAGATTGATTGATTGATTGAAAGTTTTTACAGGCTAACAACTGCTACAGATGACAGATTTTCTCTCTGTTCCTTTTTCAGAGAACCTGAGTTATTAATGTCTGTCAGGACCGAAAGACAATTTCAACCAAAATCTTAAAAAGTGTATCTGGAGAAAATGACCAACCCTGCCTTTAACTACTATCATAAAAGTATTTCTAATATTCTAACAGCTCCATGCTGTTGAATCATACTGCAGATGTTTCCATTAATGTTCCCATTTAAATCATATCAGAGAGAATTGACTGCGTTAAAGACAAACACAAACTGAGTTTTGGATTTCATCCCCCAGCCTGTTAGAAATTCTGAGGATTTGAGAAATATGTTTTCAATTTTAGCCCCTTTAGAACGGTTTAATATTTGTGCATTATGAATAATTTAATGGTCCCTCTGTAAAAATTAACTTAGATATAAGGTGTATGCTACTTTATAAATTAAATGACTTACCTTTACTGACAGCCATATTTGAGTGTTGTAGAGAGTAGCTGATGTGTTTCTAAGCTGAAGAAGAAAAGTTTTTAGTCTGTCTGTGGAAACACTTCCTTAAAACTGCACGGAGCCTCACTCTGTTCACCTCTTCCAGCAGCAACAAAATTGCTACTTTTTCTGAAATGGACAAAGTCCAAGTGAAATAAAACTGCCTTTATAGCCCTGACCTAACTGTGTCATAAACCAATGTTCAGACTGAGTTATGTTTCTCTCTTTTCAATAATATATATATATATATATACAGTGGAGGAAATAATTATTTAATCCCCTGCTGATTTTGTAAGTTTGCCAGATTTCAAAGAAGTGAGAGGTCTATAATTTTTATGGTACCTTTATTTTAACAAACAGAGACAGAATATATTAAAAAAAGTCCAGAAAAAAAAATTACATAAAGTTATAAATTAATTTGCATTTGATCGAAGGAAATAAGTATTTGATCCCCATGCAGAACATGACTTAGTACTTGGTAGAGTGACCCTTGTGGCAAGCACAGAAGTCAGACGATTGTTGTAGTTGGTCACCAGGTTTGTACACATCTCAGGAGGGATTTTGGTCCTCTCCTTTTGCAGATCTTCTCCAAATTCTGAAGGTTTCGAGGCTGTCACTTTGGAACTCGAACTTTCAGCTCCCTCCACAAATTTTTTATAGGATAAAGGTCTGGAGACTGGGTAGGCCACTCCATGACCTTAATGTGCTTCTTCTTGACCAACTGCTTTGCTGCCTTGGCCGTATGTTTCGGGTTGTTGTCATGCTTGAAGACCCATCCACGACCCGTCCTCAGTGCTCTTGCTGAGGAAGGGAGGTTCTTGTCCAAGATCTGACGGTACATGGCCCCATCCATCAACCCCTCAATGCGTGAAGTCGTCCTATACCCTTAGCAGAGAAACAGCCCCAAAGCATAATGTTTATGCCAAAGAGTTGAATTTGGTCTCATCTGACCACATCACCTTCTCCCAAGCCTTCTCTGAATCATTTAGGTGTTCACTGGCAAACTTCATACGGGCCAGTACATGTGCCTTCCTGAGCACGGGGACCTTGCGGGCACTGCAGGATTTCAATCCATTACGGCACAGTGTGTTCCCAATGGTTTTCTTGTGACTGTGGTCCTAGCTGCCTTGAGATCATTACAAAGCTCCTCCCGTGTAGTTCTGAGCTGATCCCTCTCCCTTCTCATGATCATCCTTACCCTACGAGGCGAGATCTTGCATGGAGCTCCAGACAGAGGGCGATTGATGGTTATTTAAAATTTCTTCCATTTTCTTATAATTGCACCAACAGTTGTCTCCTTCTCAACAAGCTTCTTGCTGGTGGTCTTGTAACCCATTCCAGCCTTGTGCAGGTCTACAATCTTGTCCCTGATGTCCTTTGAAAGTTCTTTGGTCTTGCCCATGGTGGTGGAGTGGTTGGAAGGAAGAGCTTGATTCTGTTGACATGTGTCTTTTTTACCCATAACGAGCAGTGATTGGGAGTACTTAAGGAGTTGGCTTGTAGGGGATCAAATACTTATTTCCTTCAATCTAATGCAAATGAATTTATAACTTTATACAATGTTTTTTTTCTGGACTTTCTTTTATATTCTATGTTTGTTAAAATAAAGGTACCATAAAAATGATAGACCGCTCACTTCTTTGTAATTGGTCAAACTTACAAAATCAGCAGGGGATCAAATAATTATTTCCTCCACAGTATATTTCTGTGCATATTGATTTGAAATATGGATAAAATGTTGTTTTTGAAGAAAGAAAAGAAAACAGAAATACAGTTTAAGTAAAACTGAAAGACATAAACAAAAAATAAAGACTGGCAGAAGCGAAAAATAAAGCTCGTCCGAAAGCGTTCAGCCGTTGGAAGCAAACTTAGTGTCAGTGTGTTCTAGTGATCAAGATATCCCGTTGTGCTCTGCACGTTATTTCATCAGAGGGCGTGGCCGTGGCGTGCGTTAAAAGTTTGATGTGCATTTGGGCAACTTGCCAAAAAAGTAAACGGTTATATCTCTGCCATGCAGTGTTCAATCATATTAAAATTTCTCATACATGATCCATGATTGAAATGTATTGCTTAGTCACAGCGCCACCTGTTGACAACAGGAATTTCCTGCTCAGAATTGGTGGGGACCATTCAAACATCTTGGCCATACAACACTTTCAAGCTCAAACGCCTACGTCCAACGCTCTCGCGATACGGATACATCATTCGCCGTCAAAGAGGAAGTGGTTGTAACTCTCATATACTTTGTCTGATCTGCCTCAAATTACACATGTATGATCAGGGTTGGCCTCTGCACACATAGACATAACAATAGTCAACTTTAACCATAGCACCTCCTACTGCAAGGAATAAGTACTACACAATGCTCAATTAGCTCCATATTTCATAGCTATCATGACAGTGCCAGCCTGAACTGCTCTACGTCAAAATGTTCTGTGATCTTCTTTACGCTGCCTATTTCAGCATACCATAGTACGACTTTTACACAAATCGAACTGTACGGCCTGCTGCTTAGCCACATTCCGCTGCTGCTGAACTCCCGCGGTCGCAACACACCCCGACATGCACAGGGGTGCGAGGGCCCTTCATCACCGCTTGCAGTTTTAATCATTTTTATTCTTTTCATTTTTGTTCCGCCACTTTGCAGCCACTTTTGAGGGCCTGAACGGGCCCGAAAACTCACCAAACTTTCCACGGTCATCAGGTCTGGTGAAAAATTAGATATTTTGGTGGTTTCGTAAACAGAGTTTGCAAAATGGCTCAGTGGTGCCCCCTTCAAATTTTCAAAATGGCCTCCCCATAAGGTTTTTTTTCACGTACACTCACGAAAATTGGTACGCATATTAAGCTTCTCGGGCTGGACTAAAAATCCTCCAATAACGGCCCAAAATCGCAGATTTCAGCCTTCCTTTTTGAAGGATCTTGTCCGAGGGCGCTCATCCGATCAGCACAAACTCAGTGTCAGTGCGTTCTAGACAGGCTCAGCATATCTCGTGCTCTGCACGTTATTTTGTCAAAGAGTGTGGCCATGGCGTGCATTTGAACTTTTTTGTGCATTTTGGCAACTTGCCAAAAAAGTAAATGCTTATATCTCAGCTATGCAGTGTTCAATCATGTTACAATGTCTCATGCATGATACAGGACCCGCCCTGAACACATCCATGTTTGAAATTTTTGGATAAGTCACAACGACACCTGTTGACAACAGGAAGTTTCTGCTTTTCAATTAGCACTAGCCATTGCTACACAGTAGCTTATTTCCCCCTAAAAATTGGTGTGGACCATGCTAACACCTTGGCCATACAACCCTTTCAAGCTCAAATGCCTACGCTCAATGCGTCGTTCGCCATCAAACAGCAAGTAGTAGTTTCATGGGCTTAACATAGTCGTACTGTCCCGAAACTTCATACATATAATCCTGGTAGTAAAGTCAAACATCTTATACCATTTAAGTGAGTGGGCGTGGCTTATTGGCTCAGTGGCGCCCCCTACAATATTTCAAACATTCAGCCCCCACAGCACGTTGAACCTATAATTCTGAATATTACTATGCATTTCCAACATAGGATAGGATAGGATAATACTTTATTGATCCCCAGAGGGGAAATTCGGGTGTTGCAGCAGCAAAGACAAGAAAGCTCAAAACACATATTAAACAGAATAGACAAGATAAATAAAAATAAAAACAGGGGGTATATACAGTACAAAATGAATGAATGAAGTTAACTATGCAGGGAATTGAGACAGTATTTGCAGAGAATGACAAGATAAAGTGACAAGTGATGATTAAAGTGACTTGGTATGATA